AATTCTTTAAAAATCCTACAATGTGATTTTCTGGATTTTTTTTTCTCATTTTGTCTCTCATAGTTGAGGTATACCTATGATGAAAATTACAGGCCTCTCTCATCTTTTTAAGTGGGAGAACTTGCACAATTGGTGGCTGACTAAATACTTTTTTGCCCCACTGTATGTGGGGGCGTGTTCGAACGAGCCGTTTTAGGTAGGTGTGGCTAACTCTTAACTTTTATAAAGAATATCTCTTTGGATTTGAGACTTTAGTCTTTGCAACTTTACAGATCTTCTTTATGCACCAAGAGCTTGTAACACTCTAAAGAGAAAGGAAAAAATGAAATCGCATCATATGACCCCTTTAAACATTGTAAATAATGTTTTAATAGTCGTTTTCATGCTTTAAACACTTTAAAGTACACTTATTTTAATATGTTGACACACATACAAAATCACATATAAAGTACTTTAGAATTTTTACTGTAGTGTACTATTTGATTGCAACTTTATCATTACAAATGTGTAATTACAAATATATATTTAAAAATGGGTTTCAATGGAAACAACATTAAATGGGTCATATGATGTTGCTAAAAAGAACATTATTTTGTGTATTTGGGGTAATGAAATGTGTTCATGCGGTTTAAGGTTCAAAAAACACATTATTTTCCATTTATAAAGAATATCTCTTTGGATTTGAGACTTTAGTCTTTGCAACTTTACAGATCTTCTTTATGCACCAAGAGCTTGTAACACCTCAAAGAGAAAGGAAAAATTTAAATCGCATCATATGACCCCTTTAAAGTATATTTTAGTGCACCATAAATTACATAAATGCACCATAAATGACAATAGAAGTAATTATGTATTTACATATAAAAATGTGCTTAAGTCCTACTTAAAGGGATAGCTCACCCAAAAATTACAATTCCAAACAGTTGCACTGGCCCCTGTTGACTTCCATAGTATGGAAAAAAATACTATGGAAGTCAATGGGGACCATAAACTGTTTGGTTACATACATTATTCAAAATATATTTTGTGTTCAACAGAAGAACATCTTGAGGGTCAGTAAATGATGACAGAATTTTCACTTTTGGGTGAACTATCCCTTAAGTGGCTCAAAAAAGCGCTCTAAACTTCAGCTAATTGCATTTAATATAAATTTTAACTAGAAGAATACATTTTCAAATAATTGTAATTAACATGCAATTATGTGTTTGAAAACATTACATTCCATTCACATTATTAGTATATTCTTTTAAAGTATATTATTTATGTAATAAGTATTTATTTTAAAAGCATACACTTTTTTCCACAAGGGGTCACATGCAAAGTTGAACTGATTTTCAGAAAGCATACTGCAAGGCCTAAAGCTACAGGTTTAATGACATGGCATGTCATAACATATAAAAACACTTACAGTAAAATCCTTTGTGCTCTCAATGTACCAAACAATTTTCTGACATCCTTCACACTGCACCTGTAGCTTAACACTCTCAGCGATGTTCACTGGACTGCAGTTGGAACAGCTAAAAAGAGTATACACAGATTTCAAAGCAGGCTACTTGGTACAAATGACAACAAATCTGAGCATATAATTTGATTGAATCAAATCAGTTAAATTCTTACGTAACAGAAAGCTTCATATTTTCTCTAGGAATGACAGTGATGCATCTGGTTCCAGACTGTGTGACACCATGTGACTTGGTATGTACAGTATACACAGAGAAACTGTACACTGGTGGTAGGCAAGCTTCGGATATCTCATAATCTCTATGTTTCACTTCACTGGGACAGGGGCAATCCTCATCTACAAAGAAAAGAGAAAGAGAGAAAGAAACACCAGATTCTTATGTGCTATGAGGGATGTTACATAGATCAACTCTGAAAAGATATAAACAAGATTAAAATTGTTGGATGGTTAGCATGGTTCCATTAGCGCCTGTAACTGTCCTAACTACACACACCGGCAAAAAGCATCTTTCTCTGCTGACAACTTCAGAAGTATCCACGTTTCTGACTAAACTGATTGCAAGCAACATTAAAATCATGGCAGTCCTTGTCTGACTGAGCAACTGCAATTGAGATGAATGAGAATGCTAACAGATTTCTCCAGGTATTATAGACCTCCTTGGATATGACACATTATTTGTAATTTAGCAGTAGTGGTACTTACGGCATTTCCAGATAGCGTCGTCATCTACTAATCCATCAACATACAGCTTGATGCTGGTAGTGCCGATGACTGGGACCTCTGGATCTACTGTGATATTTAGATTATTGGCTCTGGCAGTTCTCACTTGCTCACTGATCTGGAGAAATAATAGATGTGCTGCATTTTTCAAACAAGATAAGCTCTATTGACGGTATCTGTGGCATACCACAGAAAATAATTTCAACACCATCAGTTTGTAAAAACAAAAATGTGTGTACAGTAAGACACTTACAACTGAAGTCTATAAGGCAAGTCAATGCACTGAAATAATGCTAAAATACACATTATTTACAAATACATCTGCAAGTAAAGTCATCATTTAAAATTTAACTTTTATATGTTCAGGGATAACAGAAACGTATTTTATAAGTTTATATTTAATGTTTACAATAAAGTCCTATAAGTTACTTTTCTGTAGTCAACAAAATATCACATTAATTAAGGAAGCATAGCTTGTACTGAGTGCTTATAACAAAGCATATGTGTTTATGGACAGACTCTGGATCACATACCGTCTCTTCTTCATGTTTGTTCACTGTTTCATTTTGACAATACACTGTTGTGTTTCCACCATCCATTACCATTCTTGAGAAGGAATTCTCTGCTCTGACCACAACATTTAATTTGCCTAAATAAGATGGAGAAAAAATCTGACTGAAGAATCTGAAAGCTGTGATTAAATATACATTACTTGACCAAACGTGTGAAGATCATTTTTCATTGTGATGCATGTTTTTAATATTTAATAATGTTCAAAATCCTATTAACGCCCATGGTTATGAAATCAAATACAAATACAAATCAATACTTTTGGCCCTCTAATGCATGTGTAAATAAGTAAAAGGCAGTACCTTGTATTGTGTTTGAGATTACGAAAACTTGTGGACTTCCATGCAGCATCTCATGCATCTCAGAAAAGGTGTGATTGGCTCCAGACACCAGAAAATGCAGTTGCACTGGAGCCCCCCGAGCCAGAGACACATTGACATAGAGGGCATGGACCGGACACTGCTCATGCTCAAATTCCATGTCCGCTATGAGTCCTTCCACTGGCTCCACCAAGCACAGCTCCAGGACAGTGGAGCGATCTACAGCCGTCACCCCATTGAGAGCCACAACAGTAAACTGTTGGCAGCCTGGTCCTAGCTGCTGCTGTACTTCTGGAGATATAGTGATGTTATGGGGAACGATCCCTCTGATAGCGGAAATGGAGGCCAGCTCTGTATTTTCATGCTGCATTTTGTATGTTACATTTGTTCCTGGAGGAGGTAAACATTCATTTAGATTCTGTCCATTTTTAAAACTTATAATATGTCCTTATAAATTACCTTGTATTGTGTTTGAGATTACGAAAACTTGTGGACTTCCATGCAGCATCTCATGCATCTCAGAAAAGGTGTGATTGGCTCCAGACACCAGAAAATGCAGTTGCACTGGAGCCCCCCGAGCCAGAGACACATTGACATAGAGGGCATGGACCGGACACTGCTCATGCTCAGGTTCCAAATCCACTGGCAGTACCTTGTATTGTGTTTGAGATTACGAAAACTTGTGGACTTCCATGCAGCATCTCATGCATCTCAGAAAAGGTGTGATTGGCTCCAGACACCAGAAAATGCAGTTGCACTGGAGCCCCCCGAGCCAGAGACACATTGACATAGAGGGCATGGACCGGACACTGCTCATGCTCAAATTCCATGTCCGCTATGAGTCCTTCCACTGGCTCCACCAAGCACAGCTCCAGGACAGTGGAGCGATCTACAGCCGTCACCCCATTGAGAGCCACAACAGTAAACTGTTGGCAGCCTGGTCCTAGCTGCTGCTGTACTTCTGGAGATATGGTGATGTTATGGGGAACGATCCCTCTGATAGCGGAAATGGAGGCCAACTCTGTATTTTCATGCTGCATTTTGTATGTTACATTTGTTCCTGGAGGAGGTAAACATTAATTTAGATTCTGTCCATTTTTAAAACTTATAATATGTCCTTATAAATTACTACAAATGTTTCTGCCATCTGGTGGGTGAAAAATTTAAGTAGGCCTATATGGGTAATAAAATCCCAATATAAATCCCAATAAAATTCAGGAAAAAAGTCAGAATTGTGAGATGAAAATTTTCAATTATGAGTTTATAACCCAGTTGACCAATTTGGGTCTGCAGTGAGCACCACTTAGGGAGATGAGCTTCCATAGCTTGAATATTCGTTTGGTTTTTATTTTTTTATTTTTTATTTTACTTTTTCACAGTCAAAAATGAAACCGATGAGACTGAACAACAACAAGCCACCGGAGAGACCACCGCACTGATGATTGCTCGTGTGAGGGGAGATGCAACTCTAGTTTAAACGAGTACAATGACATTTTGAATCAATGATAACTTCTGGAGAGAAAAAGCACAGGCCATGAACAAGGATAAAACTTTCTAGTGTGCATGTGTCGAGCACTTGTGCTCATGCATGCTATCAAATGGAGTATACTTTAAGGTTAAAAGGTTGTGCGTTCAAATGTATACCCTAAGTGTTTGCATTAAAAATGAAGTATACTTTGTGTTTTTCAATAAAATGCCATATCTAGGGGCCACAATGTCATAGACACCAGAATACCTCAGAATCTGCATAGAAACACCCTAGCAACTGCGTAGCAACACTTTGGCAACATAGCAATTTAGTGTTTCGTTTTGCAGGGGCTTTTTAAGAAACTGTAAAAATGCATGAAATTACATTCTCTTTTGTCAAAATAATAACAATAACAATAATAATAAAACACTTATTTTTTACCTGCGTCTAACTCCACTTGGATTCTCAGAGGGTTATTATAAAGTGCTTTGCAGTTGGAATAGTCTGTGGATTGATTCATGCTGTGGCACATTATAGTCCCAAACTCTCCAAGCGGTTCCTGGATAGTGATGCTTTTGGAAGCGGTCACATGCCATTCACTAGTACTGCACTCTACCGTGGCAGTGTATACTCCAGCATGGCTGTACTTATGCACCACATTCTCCATCCTAAAAAGAGTTTCCACAGTCAATCATTAAAGTTCCATTGTGAAAAAAGATGTGCTTAATTGTATTAAATGTGCACTTATAGTGTACTTGCAGATAACATCATATTAATTACATAAAAGGCAACTTAACTGTACTTAAAGAAAGTACACTTTCATGACTGTTTCTTAACATAATAGTAGACTTATTTACACGTTTATCATTATATTTTAATAATCTTTTGTCATTCTTTAAAAATCACATTTTGATGTGTTGACTAACATATAAAAGCACATGTAAAATACTTGATTATAATTTTAACGGTATTGTGTTACTCAGTATTAAGTTAATATATTTAAATGTACTAAATTACGAATGTGTAATTACACATATATTTATATACATAAACTATAAATTTCAGTAGAAATTACATTAAAGTGTTTTTTACTTTACGTAAATGTTTGTTAGTAAATTCAAAAGTACACTTTGATATCTGAGACAATAGAAGTAATTATGAACTTATATATAAAGATATACTTAAGCTCTATTTAAAAGGGCTATATGTACAATTCAGAAACTCTTGTTATTAGCGACAACGGTGGCCATTAATTGAACTGCAGCCACCATCTTATTGCTCGTGCTCGCACTGAGGCAAGGGTTGCCAACTCTTATGCATTTGGGATGAGACACATGCTTTTAGGCTCTGTCTCATGCTCTCACACTGCCCAGTTAAATCTCACGCCAAATAAAAACGCCCAAGTGCTGCGCAGACCGAATCTAACTGCATTTTGATGTAATACACCATTCGGACTCCGCAGTGCTGCATGAAGTCGAACACAGACCTGCTGCAACCTCTTGATTGGACAAGTCTGTACCAATCACATTTTCCCTACACCGTGCAAGGTCACTGTAGTACAGGGGTTCTCAACTCTGGCCCTTGAGGTCTACTTTCCTGCAGAGTTTAGCTCCTACCTTGATCAAACTTGCCTGCCAGTAACTTTATAGTAATCCTGAAGACCTTGATTAGCTTGTTCAAGTGTGTTTGATTAGGGTTGGAGCTGAACTCTGAAGGAAAGTGGACCTCGTTATAGGAGAAAACTCTGAGCTGTTATCTTGGGAAAAGGACGTTGTGATAATTGGGTGCCAATAATTGTGGCCAACGTGAACTAGAGAAAAACATTTATTTCATAATGTGAGTCTTCCCCCACTTTCCATTGTTTTACTTCAATGATAGGTTAGAATTTTGTGAATTTTTTGAATGAAAGA